AACACAACTCAAAACAAAAGTCCTTGTCTTGTCGACAAATTATATAACCAACAACACAACTTAAAATCAGAAACCAGTTGGGGAACTACAACACGGAACCCTTAGCATATGTTTCCGTGAAGGGAAAGGTTGAAGAGAAAAAGAGAAAAATCAAAGAGAGAAAGAAAGAAAGAAAGAAAGGAGAGGAAAGAGTCCCCCTTTCTCTCCTGACAACAACTAAGCCACAAGAACTCTCCAGAAACCGGTCATTTATATATGTTTTTATGCTTTTTTTTTTTTTTGAAACTAAGTTTTTATGGTTTGTTTATTGATGTTGAATGTTTAAATTTCAACGCTTTCATTCATAAAATCAATTTATAATAGGTTGAAATATTCAATTAAAATAAAAAATTACAAATAAATTTAGTATTTAGTGAATGTTCACGTGTGAGTGAAGATAATAAATTATCACATGATAATTGATAAATTAAAAAAAAAAAAAACAAATAATAGGTTATAAAAATAGATAGAAGAATCAACTTAAATATAATATCACAGAAATTTTTTATTTAATAAAATAAAATAATAATATTACATGTTTGGTGTGAGGTTGATAGATAAGGTTGATGGACGGTGGGGATTGGATGAAAGGGTAGATATTTTGCAGATTTCTGTATTCAGAAGGTTCTGTGTTTACTGCGAAAGAGGGAAGGGAACCTTTTTGACAAATTAATTAATAATTATTATTATAAATTTTGATAGATTAATATTAATGAAGCAAAGAAAAGAAAAAAGAAAAAGAAAGTTGGGTCCCACTTTTAATGCTGCTATTGAACAGCATGGCTGACAACAGCTTGTGGATGGCCTCCTGGAAAATGATTGGGATTTGGAAACTTTTACACTTAAAAAAATGATTCTGCCCTTTATTTTTCTTTTAGTATTAATTTACCACTATGTATTGTTGGAAAATTTTGCGATAGCTACACTGATTTTATGAGGAAAACCTAACGACATAGTCTGGATCACTAATATCTGGGATACAAAGATATGGAATAGATCAGTATACAAATTTTAGTTTCAAGTCATGATTCATGACATGCTTTGAACCTAATATCAAAGTTGGGCCAACTTCAGCCTAGTTGATGAGGCAAATTCTTGGAGGAAAGATGGTAAGCTTGATCAGGTTTTGTTAAACCAAATGGTAAAGTGGGTTAACTTATCCATTACCTATGTAATGGGGGGGGGGGGGGATTCATCTTTTCCTCTTATCTCTTAAATTTCTAGAAAGAATTTTTTTTATTATTATAAACTTTCGTCGGTGTTAAATTTTAAAATTATTAAATATTATCATATTTTGAAAGTAATTATATGAAATTATTAAATTGAGTTTTAGTTTTACGTGATCCAATAAAATAGTTGACCAAATTTAAAGGAATTAATTGGTGTAAATTAAGAAGCATGAATTGACCGATGATAGTAAGGATCTATATTTTTCAACAATCGGATAACCATGGCAATGCATTGAGAAAGAAAGAAAGTTTGATGATATGACAAGCAGCAATGCCCAGAGAGTACTGTGGTCCAAACTTCAAAAGAAAGGAAGAAATTGGTGGAAATGCCCACTTGATTTTAGGATTGGAAGGCACTGGAAATCACGTGCTCCGTGCTTTGTGTAACATCGTAGAACCAACACGAGTACATGACCTAATTATCGTTCTCTCTCGACCATCACAATTTGCAAATTGCACGGATATGGAAAGGGATTTTGAAAACAAAAATATTGGAGAAGATTTCGGAAGCAAAGATTTTGTTTTCTACCTTTGATTATAGCTAAATATTAGTGATCGAGACTTTGTCATTAGGTTTTTTTTTTAATAAAAAAAATCATAATTTAAGAATAATTAAATGAAAAGATTGTAAATTTTAAAATTATTAAATATTAAATAATTGTATAAATTAAATGAATTAAAATTTAAATTGATCTAATCTCTAGTTATATGTATCTACGTACACATATATATTTAAAATACATTTTTATAATTCGCCATTAGTTAGAGTTATATAATAAATTTTTTTTTTTGGTAACGATAATGAGATTCATATGCAAATTTTGTGAACCTAAAGATAGAAAAAAGTTGCATGAACTTCAATTATTTTATATATTGGATCAATCACGATTAGGACAGTGTCTCAAATCATTGAATTTGGATCACTTATCTTTCAAATATTGTTGCCATGCCCTTTTCTCACCCATCATCCAATTAAGAAATATGTTAATTAGCCAAGCAAAATAAACTCAAGAATGACTTTCCTAGTTACCAAACGTTGTTGTTGTTGTTGTTTTTTTTTTCCCCCTAATTTCTCCAATGCAAAAGGCTCCAAAGCATGATCAGACAAAAAGTTAGGGGAAAAAAAAAGATAAAATAAGGAGACATGGGCGGGTGCCCCCCATAAATGGGAAGGAAAAGCTGGCAAAATATTAAGGCTAAGTAGGTTGCAAATGACAGGACAAAACAATAATTCTTTCTGGAAACAGTGATAGTAGTAACAGATTGGAGATAACAATCGACATTTGCAGTCTGTTCCAAAACTCTGACAGATTCAAGCTTGCATTGCATGTGTTACATTGGGATGATATTTCCCCACGTCATTCCCCTTTAATGTCCCTGTCTGTCTGACCCCACAGTACCGTTTTAAGACATGTCATTTACTGACATACGTCAGAGTTTTTACATTTTCCAACGGGGGAAATTTATCACCTGAGACTGCAGCTGGAAGCTTGGAATCTGGACTGGACAGGCTCCATTCCTTTTTTTTCACAACATTATTATGTACACAATCTTAATGAAGGGCGCCGCCCAACCAAACGCTGCAAATTGTTGGCGTCAGGGGCAGCCTCCATTCTATTGGTTTGCGTAGGTGACTTTCTTACTGTTCCTATAGCACATTTAGATCACTTTTTCTTTTCACAAACTTAATGCAATTGATTTTCTTGAGTGCTTGTAATAAAAAAATAATTTATATAATATAAAATTAAAAAAATTTTATACGGATTTTTAATTTTTGATTTTAATAAATTTAAAAGATGAAAAAAAAAAAATAAATTTTATATGATAAAATTGTCCTTTCTCTAAAAATTTTTTTATATAGAATAGTATTATTATCTAATGAATTTGATATCGCCAAAGAAGAAATTGAAATGACTATATCCAAGAGCAGTACTTGAAGAAGATTTTTGGTTGTGCGGACGAATACGTGCCTGGCTGGAAGTCTGGAATCCAGCTAGTAAAAGGGTCCTACAATTTGTTAACTTTAGCAAGTTTTGTTAAACTTCAATCAAATTGCTAGAAAAGAAAGGGAAAAAAAAAAAAAGGCATAAGAAGCAACAAAAGGCCACCCTTTGGCAACAAATTGCGATTTGATGTGACAAACTACCTGTCGAATAGTTGTAAAGAAGGTACAGAAATAATTTATTTGTTTTCTTTCAATATAAATTTTAATAGATTAAAAATTCATTTTTTAACATTTATAATTTTTTTTCAATTTTAATTTTTTGGATAAAAACTTTGACATTGACAATATTACAAGGGGAAGTTCTAAATATATCTCATTTATTTTTTAAATATATATTTTTAAATTTTTTATAAGTGAAATTATTTAAATATATTTGTAAGTTTTTTTATTTTTTTTTGAAAATCATAATACTTTTTTAAAATATATTTATGAGATGTTATAACACTAATTGGAAATGTCTTCTTAAAGTCATAATATTTTTTTAAATTATATTTTTAAGGGAAAAAATGAAAATTTATGAAAAATTATAAAAAAATTATTAAAATTATTATAAATTAGTGTAATGAAAAAATATTATTAAAAATTTATAAATTTTAAAATTAATAAAAAAATTAGTTTTACTTTTTTAATTTTAAAGAAAAAAAAGTTTATGATATTTTATCTCTTAATATTATGAAAGATAATAAAAAAATTATTAAATCTAATCAATATATAAGAGTTAAAATTCTTTAAAATTATATAAATAATACTATCGAATATTATACAATTTTATCAAAATACTACAAAATTACCATTATCATATTCTCACCTTCATATGAATTTGAAACTGATAAGAAAGGTGTTGGAATAATTAAAACTAACTTGAAGTTGAAGATTTTTTTGATGAGTATTGCATACTTATGAATAAAAGGATAGTATAAGTAAATTATAGAATACAACAAAATTTTGTTAAAATCTAATATGTTAATTGAAAAAATCAATTATAATAAGTAGATGTAAACATTTTTTCTAAGGAATTCAATTTAATTAAAATTATTATAAAATTTTAATAATGGATATAAGCAATATTTATTAAAAAATAAATTTCAAATTTATAAAAAATTATATTCACTATTTTATTTTTAATTTAATTAAGATCTCATAAGATATTATTTTTTCTCTAAGATGAAAATAGTGAAAATGATTTTTTATTAAATTTAAAATTTATGATTTTTAATAATAAATTTTCATTACATTTATATATAAATTCATAAAATTTCAATTTCAATACTCTTGAAAATATATTTCTGACTTCTTAAAAATGTATTTCCATATATGTTATGAAATTTTGAAAATAAATTTTTGAGATGTGTTATAAAATTTATGAGATGAATATTTTAATAATTTTACTTACAAAGACCTAAAAAAAATGTGGTGTATAGAGCCAAAACATGGGCACATTTAAAATTTTCCAATTCTAAATACTAATTTTTTCTATTTACAATTTTACTCCGAATTGCAATGGATAGTTAGTCGAGCTAGGAATTGTCGATGATAGACTTATCATTTAGGGTCTAGCCTTTTTCTTCTTTTTTTTTTTTTTTTTTCCGAAATTGACAATGAAACGACCATTTATACCGTTCACACATCACAATTTAGGAAGCGAGTATTTTCAAAGAAAATGGATTTTTTTTTTTTTACTCTCCCACCGACAATATGGATTAGAATTGTTTCAAAATGAATGCTTGTCATAAACGCAGCTAGGTCTTGACGTAAATAATGGAGCTAAACAGCCATTTGCTCCTCCCTCAGTCCATTTCTGACCTGCTTATTGGTCACGACCCGAGCACGAGTCAAAGTTCAGGAGCTGCATGGATTAAAACTTGAGTCTCAACCCGTGTTATAAATATGAGTTTCATCCATTAGTTGGGGCTATCAGAGTGTCCTAATGGTTTTGTTAGGCTGAATCCAACAGCTGGGGAAACCAGCCCATCGTCTTTTTCTTTTTTTTTTTGTTGTTGTTGAGTGGACTCGTTGAAGTGTTATTCTCATTTTTGGAGGTATCAATGGCAAAAGAACAAGGCATGATTTTATGTTTAGCAGAGCATATGAAAAATGTATTAGTGAAGGAAAAAGCTAGTAGAAAGGTAATTGCACTGATCGGAACAAACTGTTATAAAATAAAATTTGAGGCCTCGATGTCCAGTAAGCTAGAGCACAATACTTCATTCTGTCCGCAGGGCTTTAATCCAATCAACTTCCAATCTGAAATCACCTGGTCCTGTTTTAGCACCTGGAACACCACCTACAGCATTAACTGACAGAGACATACCAAGAATACGAGATGGATTCATCTCCAATTTTGCATCTATAACATTTCCTCTCCATGTTGGCAAATAATGAGCAAGAGGAATCTGCAAGATAATGCAATTTATGAAGCAACATCCAAAAACTTAAGAAAAAAGTTAACACAATTAGCATTTGTTTCGGCATTGCTCATAAAAAATCAGTCCTTAATCTCCACCCTAGAATAACAATCCACCCCAAGGCATGGAACCAAGTAAAGTGACACCAACTCAAACTCATAGTTAGACATGCTAAGGCTTTGCTTAGTAGGGAAGATGAAAAATTTATTAATCCAATGATTAAAAATCATAACAACTTTCCTACATTTTAACTTAACCATTAGATTAACAAGTTTTTCATGCTCACTCTTTTCCACCCTTCCTACCAAGCAATGCCTAAATGTGTTATTTGCAAACTCTTTCGAATTGCAAATGGATGTCAGCGGCGTAACAGAAAAATAAATAAATAGTCTTTTGTTTGACATGCCGTTTTTAGATTTCTTTTTCTGGTCATATATCTAACAGCATCCTACTGATAAATGTAGTGAAAGAGCTTCATTAGTCACAAGCTAATTACGTTCACTAATGCGGTAACACATGGAATTGATGGAACCTCATGACTAGAAACCAGTAACTTATAAGAATATGAGCTTGATGAATATGACAGTTTTACCTTTGCAATATACCAGTTGTCTTTGGGTACACAAACAAAAGATTGCCATGAATTATCTTCTAGCTGTGCAGGTGAATTCACCCAATTCTCTGTATAAATCTGCATATAAATTAATAAGATACAATACAACAATTGTCAGTTATATATAACATCATAATTAAAAGCCTTGATATCTGTTTATTTCAACACGAGGACAAATAACTCACTGTAGATATGTAGCTTCTCCCATCTCCTTTGAGCTTAATTGCTATTGTATCGTATGCATCCAAATCAATGAAGCCATCAAACTTCAGAAAATTAAAAAAAAATAAAAATGCGTTACTAAATGCAAACATATTACTACAATAGAACCAAGGTTATGGTGCTTATACAGTAAAGTGAAAATATGCTGCTTTATCCACGAAGATAAGCTACCTTTCTACATGTGAAATCCTACAAAGCAACTGAAAATTGGAATGATATTCACTCATTTGAAATAAATAGAACTAAAATCACTCGTATACTATGTAAATACACACACACACTCAACTCCATGAAATGTCTAAAGAACGGGAAAATAGAACCATAAGGGTCCAATAAAGACATTCAAAAGACTGAGCTTGCAAAGGGGTTGGCTGAATTAATATACTTGGGAGCAGCCTGAAGAAAAAAGAAACAAAAGGACTAAACAAAGAAAAAAAGTTAAGACATAACAACACAACATCGGAATGCCATAAAAGACAAAGAGAAAGATGAAAATTTTAATAGATTAAGAATGAGTGTGAAAAACAAACATAATAAGCCTCATCTAATGAAAGCCAGCATATAGATTCCTGCAGGGACTATTATCATTTCAAATATCTGTATCTGGAAGTGTAAGTTAAAAATGAGCCTTTTGTACATCATTTATAAAGCTAAACAGCCTTTAGAGATTCATCCATATACTTTCAGTGACTAAGGAACATCTTTTGAGTAATACCTTTTATTTTCTGGAAAATTCGAACTATCCATTTGGTTGCCAAATCCAGAGTCTGTGCTAAAGACTCGATGAGATATGATCAGGGAATACGAAAATTGACATTATCCATATTGACACAGTAAAACTAACAAAACTAATATGATCAAGGCATTCCAAAATTACTTCAGACAATTTATTTCTAGCAGCTAAAAGAACTGGAATTATTGTTCACCTTCTTGGACCTCATTCCACAGAAGCCGCCCCTAGCTATATTCCATTTTGTGCCTTCACATACATCCAGTGAAAGGTTCCCAGAGAAAACTCCTAACAAAGAAGTTATCCAATCAGTGATTAGGAGCACAAATAAGGTAAATAATAAAAAAGTTTAAAAAATGAAGTTGTCAAGGTGAAGAGTTGTATTGAAATCATGGATGCCAAATTCAATTATTGGCACAAAAATAATCTCAATAGAGCCTTTCCAATGAACCCTAATTGACAGTTGTTTATTGACCATTACCACATGATTTATTTCCATCATCTTTGATCTCCAATGAAGCCGACGACAACCCTGGAAAGTAAAAATGATTAGAAAAAATATTGCAAAAGTTTACTTCAGAAAACATCATGTTAAGAAACTGAAATTTGAGTGATTTCAGAGTTACCCCCAAACTCAGAATCAGAATAAAGATGCCATTTTTTGAGCTCCTCTTTTGAGCTGAAATTGAATATGTATCTTTCAGTTGGAGGAATCCAATCTTCAACGTTCCATGTCAGAGCTACATTTAAGGAAAAAAAAAAAACAAGACTTCAAATCAATTAGAAAGGGAAAAAAAAAAAGAGAAGGGTTCGATTTTTTTATGATCTAATTCCAGAAAAACAAACAGATTATTCAAATTAATAATCAAAAGTTTTACCTTTCTTGGTTGCATTCCAAGAAGCTTGCCATAACCCGCGAAACCTTGACATTTCTTCCGAAAATCTCGAACAAAATTAAACTTTTAAGAACTCCAACAAAAAAAAAATTTGAAATTTTATAATAATTTGGTAATAATACGGAAATAAATTTGGGTTAACGAAAGCAAATACTAGCTTTGGCTAAGGCGGTTGAGCAGCGGCGTCTGTCACTGTTCACAAAGCAAGGAGAAGCATATTTTGCTTTCACTTTTCCTCTTTTTTGAGCCTGGGCTTCCATTCATGATTTTACACTTAATCGACGTGGGGAGTAATTCAAGGCCCAAATTGCAAAAGAATTTTCTTTGGGGTTAGTGAAAAAAGCAATTTATTTTTTAATTTTAGAAAAACATGATAAATGAAACCATTATTTATCATAAAATAAAATTTTATTAAATATTTTTGGTTCTTACTGTGATAAAAAAAATAACAAATTTGAAGCTTACATATATGTCCTTATTTTAATAAGCCACTAATATAATAAATTAAAATTTTTTTTATTTTTTATTAAGATGATATAATAAAGTTTTAACAATATATTTTTAAAGTCAACAACAACGTTGAATTTTTAATTTTAGTGATTAGATTGTAAATTTTGATAGTTTCAAATAAAAAAATAAAATTTTAAAGATCAATGTAATAAATTACATAAATTTTCAATTATCATTAAAATGATGTAATGAAGTTTTAGCAATATATTTTTAAAAGTCAACATAGTTTGGGGTAAGGTTAATAGAGCTGCTTTTAGTAACCAAAAAAAGTGTTTTATTTCTCTTATTAGTCCACAATTTTTGGACAAAAAATTTACATATATTTTTTTTATGATAAGATATTTACTTTATCATAAAGTATTAAAGTAATTTTTGAATATAACAATTTTAATTGGTCACATTAAAACATTAATTTTTGGCTAGAGAAGGAAATCCAACCTGGATTCGATAAATTTTAATCCGATTTGATTTTTTATAATTCGTTTTTTTTTTTTTAAATTGAGTATCAAGTCGAGTCATGTTAGATAATATAAAAAAAAAATTTGAAGTCGAGTCGAGGTTAAGTTTTAAACAAATCTGACTTAATATATATATATAATATTTTTTAATTAATTAATTAATTTTATATTTATATATTTATATATATTTAATTTAATATTTTATATTAAAAAATAATATTTTATTAATTTTGAATCGAATTAGATACAATTTTATATAATATTAAATCAGATCGAGTTCAAATATAAAAATAAAAAAATTATTAGATCGGATAAAATTTAAAACGAATAAAAATTTATTTTGATCCGATCCGTTGTCATCATTATTCTTGACTGATCATTGCATCATATGGACATGATTTACAAATCATAATCATAAAACTTAATCTCTATATTATTGCTTCTTATTTATTCAAAATTAGTCATTTTCAAGGACACTTATATTTGTCCTTAGGAAGGCAACAAAACGAAGTTGACAGTACATGTGGTACAAACATGTTCATTTAAGTACAACACTTGTACCTTTGGACCTTAGCACAAATTTAGAAGATGCTTGAAGGGACTGATTTTGTTAAAGACAAAAGCAATGTAATAGCAATCCTTTATTTTTTACCTTGTAAACAAAGAGATTGGCAAATGTTTTAGGACGGTTTCAGAATTCTAAATGGACAGTCGGCAAAGTTATGAGATGTAAACCTCCGTTAGACAACAACTCAATCCCAAGATTAGGGACAAATTGTTGTATTAAATTAACAACTATTCATTTTGAAGGATGACGTTGAATAAATTTAAAATTTAAATTTTAATATTTATAATTTTTTTTTTTGATTTTAAGTTATATTAATTTGTTATTTGACCGAAATTTTTATAAATGGATTTTTTATATAAATAAAAATCTATCTTAATGTTCTGTTTCGCTCAAAGTTTTATAAAAAGTGTTTTTAGAATGGAATTATTCTAAAAGTATTGTAAAAAAAAAACTAAATAACTATTTTAGATTAAATTTAATTTGAAAAGGTACTTGTGGTAAATCTTTTTCACTAAGACGAGTTAAAAAAATCTTAATTTGACGTCTAATGGGGAATGGCAAAGGGTTAGAGGACAAGAAAGTACGGCAAATTTACCTTATATCTTGGTCGGCCGAGGCTTACAGAAGATTAATCAAGACTTTAGAAGGTTTTGATATCATGGGAGTAAGAGCTAGTAAGCTGAACAGATTGATTGGAACTGGAAGGGTTAAGTGGTTCAGGGTTCCTACTTCGACCCCGAAAGGTTATGTTCCAGTAAGCGTAGGGGTCAACGATGATACAAGGCGGTTTATCGTGCATACAACAACACTACGTGACGCAGATTTCTTGGAGATGCTATGTAAATCAGCTGAAGAATATGGTTTCCATGGTGAAGGCATTTTGAGGATTCCTTGCAATGCAAAGGATTTCGAGGAGTGGATTATGACGAGGGCTAAACGAAAGATTGTTCGTGTTCGTGTTCATTGAGGATGCTAGAAATCAAATTTTTAATTTTCAATGATTATAATTCAATTCCTGACACTTTCATATAATAAAAAAAAAGTTCTTCTTTCTTGTTATGAGAAGACTAAACTCTTCTTAGATAGAAACTTCTGTGATAATTGTGCTTTACATGGCAATATGGCATTAAGTTTTGCCTCAATTAGGTTTAATTGTTGTTGGTTTCAGGACAATATTCTTGCTTTCTACAAACAGAGGCCTGAGTTATTGTCTTTGTAACAAAATTTCCAATGGAGTATTACAGTAATATATCCAGAGTTGATGTTCTCCATTCAAAATATATTGTGATTCAGAATATATAAAAATGTCTTTAAAAAAATTTTTCTGCTCATGTAAGTAACAAGTCATGATGACAATGTATATATGCTTGATTTTGTTTTACGTGGATCTGTTAATGACCTTTGGGCGGCGTCATTTTATTACAACGAGGAAAGCAATCAATTTTGTTCAGTTGTATATTAGTTGGATGATATTCAGACCAGATATGATGAATCAATCTAGATTGTCAGAGCTGGCTATGAATTTGTTTCAGCTTTAACTTCATTAGTTTATTGTTAGGATCATAAGATCTGCATATGTGTTGTTGTTTGATATCGAGAATTATCACAAATTAGCTTCAAAATTCAGCTTTCTTTGGCTCAATTAGTCATTGGTAACCCCCTCTGGGAATCTGGTCAAACGGGAAAATGATCATCATTGCCCTGCTCTTGTCATTGCTCTTGATTGCCCGATGTCAACTGCATGCATGGTAAAATAGAAATTGTGTTTGGGTGGATGGAAGATGAAGGATCAGATTTGGGGATATGAAGAACAAATATGTTGAGACTCATCAGTCTAACATTGCAGCTGGCAGTTCCACTTGCTTGTCAATTCAAAGAGCGACAAAAACCGATGTGCATTGCATTTAGTGAAAATTATATATATATATATATATATATATATATATATATATGAAGCATGTTTGATTCCAAATCACAACTGATTGGTGCCAGTTGAGAAGCTAGCATTGATCCATCATAGTTCATCACGATTTGCCCAACTTGCCCAATACCAAACACCCAAAAATACCCTTACGATTTACATCTATTCCTTATCTGTTGATTGCATTTGTAAATTGTTATGAACTATGATGATGCAAAGTAAATTTGTGGATTCATATATTTTTATTGTATAAAATATTAAAATTTATGTATTTGTATAATATTTTATATAAAAATTATATATTATAATTTATATCCAAATAAAAATATAAAATAAATGTTTTTAATTTTATTAAATATATATAATAATTATTAAAATTTTAAATTATGTTAATTTTATATTTTATTTTTATATTGTATTAATATCATGTAATTATGTTTTAAATTGTCGGCAAAGGATGTTAAAACGAAATCATGTTCTCGGGGTACATAAAGTAAAAAGACATGATATCATGTCTGTTTATTTTACCCAGGAAGAACCCAAAACTTCGCTGCCAAAGCCGGAAACGCCAGTCTGGGCAGCCCATGGTAAGCGCACACTGATATAGATCACTTGGCGGGCGCTCCCCACTAATATACCAACTGTGCTGGCTAGCTTCTGTTGCTTGGGGAGCTCTTTTTCTCTTTAAAAATGGAGACAAGGGAACATGAAATAATTGACCACACTCAAAACATGTCACATTCAAGTGCCCCATGGCCTTAGCACATACTCTTCCATTGAGAAAAAAAAAAAAAAAGGGTCACGTACAGCTGTTTTCTCCAGTAATGATATGGACGTTCAATTTTCCTTCTTTAGCAGAGTGACCTCACAGTTTTGAGTGTTAAACCTGTTTTTGACAATTATTTCCTAAAAATAGCTAACATTGCTATGAAGCAAGAAGCTTGAGGTCATGCAAAGTTGCACTTCCAATCATCTAACAGCTCCATTTTTAGAGTTGATGACATATATATTTATATATATATATATATATATAATATAATATATAAGTTTGTTGCTTCAGATCAAGTTGGACTTCACTTTATATAATTTATACTATTAATGGTTTTTATGTATATAAAATAAAGACGGTAGCACTCCATTTATCTAGTAGTGTTAATTTCTTACAAGAAATTTTGTCGTTCAAGCAAAACATATAAACAATCACTTTAATTGGTATAGTTAACAAACAAAAAAATAATTGAAAAAGTATTAGTGTCGACTCCAGTGTCAATGCGTGGATGTTACTAAAGCCTCTCCATCTACTCAACCATTTGCAGCTTAAAAAACTATGCATTTCTTAATTAATTAACTTAATCTGATAAACTAATGTCAACATGTTTTATAATTAAATTAATGTCATTCGAATTCGAAATTCTATCCAATTAATTCATTTAATCACATTTAAAAAGTAAAGTGACATTCAATAATTTTGAACTTTCCTGTTTCTAAATTAGGATATTTTTATAAAAATTTATTGAAGTCATTTAAACTTCTAGACTCTATTTTTTTTTTTTTTTTTTTTTATATCTAGACTCGTAATTATATGATTTCTCCCTCTTATTATTGCAAGAATATATTATGCCAACTAACCGAATTTTTGTCTTTGGGTGGAAACCTGTAAGGTGAAATTTAGATGATATATACTAACATTGAACACAGTACTACTTCAAAGTGAAACAATTATGCCATTTTGCCTCGAAGATAAATTGGATTGAAACAAGAAAATAATTGTGGAAAAATGTTTCATCTGCTGGGATAACATTAGCTTTGGGGGTTGATATTAAAAGCAGTTTCAAAGAGATTCCTGGAGAGGAAAGGTGCGTAGAAGAAAAAGCTGAAATAACTTATTCAAGTCCATCAACCATGGTGCAGTAAGAGAAGCCTCGGAGCAATCTTGAATGAGATTTAGTTTTCTGGGGACCAAAACTGAAGTACAAGACTAGTCATATATGGGCAAGACAAATACATATACAAAACAACGAAAATGAAAAAGGAAGAACAAAATTTGAAGATTGAATAGCAGCCAAATTTCCATTTCTCAACCATTTTCATAGTGAGTTCTTGATGAGCAACATCATCCCGCAGTAAAATCAAATGGGTTAATCTCACTGTCCCAAAAGGACATAACAAACACTAAATTAACTGCCTATACTACTTGATTTTCATTATTGGTTTCTCTCTCTCTTTTTTTTTTTTTTTCATGGCTCTAAATCTTTTTACAACTTTGAAAAGGGTTTAGATTTGTGTTTTTCTTCCCTTTCATTAGCAAGTGTAGAACTCAATCAGCTCTTCCATGGAGCCCAACTGAGCCCCATCATTCTCAAGCATCCAAAGCAAGTGCTCAAACAAAACAACCTCGCAAGAAACCACAACTTCATGACCATCATCATCGTTACCATCAATACCATTACCACCACCAGAGGATCTATCAATCAGCTCTTTCAACAGAGGATGGCAGATGATCTCAGACCCTACCAGGTATCTGCGCCGCGACTTTCCAACATAAACTGCATGAAGATCCTTTGGGATTGACTTGTCTTCGCATTCTGCAGCCGCTATGGCACTGCTGCTGCGGGTGAGCTTCGTTAAAGATGGCCATCTTTTTATTGCGGACTTCAGCTTTGTTAGCTTCCCAAGTTTTGCCATGGCTATATTTGCTTCCTAGTTTTGTTACTGAGTTTTGGAATGTGGAAAAAGAGGAGACTATAAAGAAGAAAAAAGGGTTTTCCTTTTGAGAAGAACTGCAGAGAACCATTGACGGAAGCAACGTATATAAAAGAATGGAAGAGAGAGAGAGGTGAGAAAAAAACCTGGCAAGTAGCAGAAAAGAGCATGGCCCACTGTTTGATACACCAGCTAAGCAAAGAATGAGACATTTTGGGTTGCCAAAACCAGTTGCTCCTTGCTCGGCGTTTCGTCTCCTTTTTTTTTTTTATATATATATATTTACATGAATACCCTTTCCTAAAATTTTCTCCTTTTTTTTTTATAAATATTTTAGTTCCATTTTCATGTGAATTTATTTTAATATAAAGATACCATATTTTAAGGATAGTAAAAAAAATTATATGTACTAAAATTTAAATATCAAATTTACTAAATATCATCTTGTAGGTTTTATTTCATAGGATGGAAAGAAAATTGAAGAGATAAAAAATTGAAAGAAAAGTGAAAAGATGGAAAATATATTTGTTCTTGCTGCAAGTGTGCCTGGTTGGAAAGATAGAAAAGTTTAAAAGAAAATGTAATTTACTTTCCATTGGTAGAGTTGAAAAATAAAAGGAAAGAAATTAAAAATTATATGATTTTATCATTATAATTTTCTATAAATTAAGATTAAAAATTTTAAATATGATGAATAATTTTGTAAATATGTAATTCATGTTAACACTCTCTCATTTTCTCTCTTTTTTTTTTTTCCAATACGAAGTGATTTGTTTTGGTTAATGAGTGTGAAAAATGATAATTTTTTTTATTTTCTTTCCTCTTATTTTTATTTCTTATCAAGCACACAAAAAATCTATTTTCCTTTTGTTTTTTCATTCACCCCTTTTAATCCCTTCACTTTCCAACTATACTAAGCATAGTTTTTAAGATGATTTTGCAATTCAATTGAGTTAAATTTTAAATTTATTTTTATGTTATTTTTATTATAAGGGTATAGAAAAAGATTAACTTATACTAATATAACATCAATAACAACACACCAAACCTTGTGTCTAATACTTTGGGATCGATTGAATAAAAGACCAAATAAGAGAATCATGTTAAGTTGTAATTTGAATATTTTTGTTCCACTCATTTTTATCAACGACAAATTTTTCATCTAATTTCTTGACCATCATATCATTTTTTATTACTTGTTTTTATATTTTTTTTTGGTCTACTTCTAGAGGTTTTGATCTCTCATAGATCTAAAGACTTAATTCTTCTAATCGGTGCACAGCTAGATTTATGTTTTACATGTCAAACCATCACAAACGATCATCTTTTATATTCTCTTTAATTTGGATTACTCCTATTTTTTCTCGAATTTTTTCATTTTTAGTTTTATCCTTTTTAATCTTACCACACATCCATCTAAACATTTTCATTTCCGTTACATTCATTTTGTTCTCATATTATTTCTTAACAACCCAACATTTAGTTTCACATAATAACGCATGTCTTACAATTATTTTATTCTAATATAAAACAAAAAAATTTTACAAATTTTTTAACTATTAATTTCATTATATCTAAGAGATGAGATAATCAAGTGAAAAAAAAAAGTTTAATTTCATTATTTGAATCTATTAAAATTGATGACTAAAAAAAAATATAAAACTTTTTCGTATAAGTTAATCTATCCTCGTAAAGATATATAACGACATGGATATTTAAACTTGGATTTTTTTTTTTTAAATTTAATTCAATTGTTGGGGGTCATGGCAGGTGCAGTCCACATAAATGAATCCAAACCTTGTGGCTCAAAATCATATTAATTGCTTTTATCTACTAATATTGAGATGCTAGAATTCTATGCCAACTTGCATTGTTGAAAAGAACTTTTAACAACTTGATTTTCAAGTGATATTAACTTAAATCTTACTACTTCTATGCTGGAATCATTAAACTTCTTGAGGTTTTTAACAAAACTGTTTCTTATATAATCTTGAAGAAGGCTCTCAAATTTCACATGATATATAATGATGAAAAATTATTATCAAACAACCTCATATCTAAACCAAATAAAAAGGAAAAAAAATGAAAAAACAAATGCAAGGGTAATAATGTAACAGGAATCATATGGTAGGGCAATGGTGGTTTCTTTGTTTCTTGTTCATGTGTCATTGATAGCAAAAAAAATCTGTTGGTTGGTAAGCAGTCACCACTTCCATATGGTAAAAGACCAAAAACCAACTAGTCTATTTATTTATTTATTTTCTCTTTCAAAAGCCATAGTAGAAACAAAAAGCTTCGAGCTGGTGGCAATGGCATCTCCCTCTCTCATGCGTTACAATTTGTACTAATGACTTTTGTCTCCACATATTTTATGTGAGCCACCAACAAGGCTCAAATAAGGTGTCAAATATAGATAAGCATGGAGCTGTCGACAAAATAAAGGATGCATCAAACCAGTTGCCAACCCCTTCATTACAAGTGATCACTACACACTACTATTTTGGAGAAATTATCAATAACTTTTATCTTAAGCTTTGCTAGCTTTCTTATAATTATTCTTGGGTTTCAAGGGTTGGAAGTTGAGATTAAACTTTCTGCTCCTACAAGTCTTATCATTAATAGAATCAATTGCATTTAGAAGTTTAGCACATAATTTTTGGTAGATATATAAAAGAAGGAAAAGAAACAAAAAAATGAACTTGAAATTTAGAGATGATATTTAATAAATCTGTAATTCAAACATAATACATATAAAATTTTCTTTTATTTTTAGATTTCAATCTTTTTTTTATAAAAAAAAATATATCATAGAAAAAACAACTAGCTACATTTAATAATTGTAATTGCTTAATATATAAAGCTAGGGGAAATCACAAATCAAGTCAAAAACTAGGAAGCTAATTATTCATTAAAATTGTAATTGCTTAATGATTTGTTCTCAAATACTCACCTGGCATTAATGTTTGGGCAATCTTGGATTTTCAATCTGTTATCATAAATGAAGCCAAAATTTGAGCTGTTAAAAGATCCAACTTTTTTCTCCTAATCAGTCTGTCTACTTGGATTTGGTCACATGAATACAAGAAGATGGTAGACTCGTGTACAATAGAGTTGGACCACAGCATTAACAACCGATACTGTTCTCTGGTCAGGTCTGAAAGTGAAAGGTTGAAAGCCATGGTTTGGTATATTTGACTTTGGTTCAATCAAGAGTGAATTCCCCAGGCTATAAAATCCAAAGGGAAACACGGTTTTGTGGACGACTAAAGATAGAAGCCCAAATAAGGATCCATCGACCCAATTATTCAAAAGACATGGTCACATGGAAGTGAAATTACTGAAATGAAATGGTCAAAAATCAAAGTAGAAAAAAAGTAGGTTACGTGGCAACATCATGGCTCCATGTCACAGCCATCAAAGGACACGAGGAATCAAAATATCCCCAACAATGGACGAGCGCAAGCAGAAGAAGATTCCAAAAGAATTAAGTTTGTCTTCCTTTCTCCTCCTACAACAATTGAAAATGATCCCAGTTGCTGACAGAATGACCCGTTTGTTTAGTTTCCCAGAAAACATGGAAAAATTCATTTTCCCACCAAGGACTCGGGATAGTCATGAGAACGAGGAAAAGGGTTCGGTAGCGTACCAGCCGACATTTTGGACAGTCCCAAGGAGTTCATTTTCCACTTGGATGTTCCAGGCTTGTCAAAGTTCGGATATCCAAAGTAACTGAAAACACCACAAAAAGCCTTTCAGGGTTTTGATTTTGGTATCATGTATTTTTGCTAACAATAATTCTTGCTTTGAGTTTCAGGTTACTGTTGAAACTAGAACACATTGGTGACCAAAAGTAGTGGTAAGAGGAAATGTGAGGATGTTGAAGGGCGTAAAGACATCAGACTTGAAAGGAAGCCACCCCAGCAGCCGATAAAGAAGTTCTGGTTGCCTGAGAATGCCAATGTGTCGGCGACGGCTGTCACAGCTAAATGTGAAAATGGGGTTTTGACAGTGGCTGCTGAGAGCTTCCTCTGCCACTAAAGCCTAAAACGGTTGAAGCTGCCGTAGTTTAAAATGGATGGCCTATGGCCATGGCTTTGTGGGAAACAAGAAATTGGAATTATTGGCGTTTCCATCCCAAACAACAGTGGGGTTAGCTAGGTTTAGGCGTTGAACTTGAGTTTCTCGACTTTGAAAACTCGAGGAATCAAACATTGTTTGATGAAACACCTGCTAGTAAAACTGCAGAATTCAAAGAAATTCCAAACTCCTCCGTCCATCTTAAGGTAAAGGATATAGGTAAATCTTTGTTAAAAGATTAAGATCAGGTTCAAGGAGAGTTAAGCCATTTAATAAAGGGCCACATGCATGTGATGAGTAAAAGTGAACTTTAAACAGTTTACTCAATGAAGCACTAGCCCTTCTGCTCGTTTAAGAATTCGTCAATCCCCAAACATAATACCACTTGCCACCAAAATTTCCATCGGACATGTACTTGTTTATAAGATGACAACAATAACAAATAACTAATACAATAATATTAGTATGTAAGAGAAAAAAAAAAAAAAACAATTTTCTTGCTTAGATAATTCCTTGCCCTCCACTCCCCAGGCATGTTGCTTCCAGAAAATGGTGAAAATACTAGGAACCATAGTTACGAGCTTTTTGCTTCTCCAGACGCTAGAAGTTGGGGATATTGTTCATTCCTTCATCCAGAGCGAGGCATGTCTCTTCCATCATTGATGGAGGGTACAAGTTCAAGGGATCAATCCTCTGGCACATCATAAAACAAAACGTTCACAATGTGATACCATGAGATTCTGAATAAGCCAGGATTCACTTAGATGACTTCTTTTTCCCTGGCTTGGGCCTTTTTTTTCTTATTATGGATTCTTTCTCTGTTGGACTATCCTCGTTTAGCAAATGCTCATAGTCTTCAAAACTTGCAAAGGGAGATACTGAAGCCCTTTTGCCAGACTTTCGTTTCCTTTTTCTTTGATGAAATCCATCCTCACCATCGCTAAGATCATCTGCATCTCCAATAGCAACAGCATCATCACCATTATCATCAATCCAATCATTGCCGGCATCAGCACCAAAGTCCTCTCCATCAGCATCATCCAAGGGTAAGTCCATCTCTGCATCACTGGCATTACCAATCAAGTCGTCATCATCTTCATTGGCAACTTGGTCTAGATCATCATAATCATAGTCCCCATCTGCATCTGGAGAAGGATTGGCCAAGTCCAACATATTATCAATCTCTTCGTTATCACTGTCATCATCGCCATTCACATAATCATCATCCATGTCATTGCCACCAACATCAAACAATTCTTCAGCAGCTTCTTCCTCTGCGCTTTTCTTCTGCTTCTTCTTTTTTGGTTTCTTTGAGGAATTCATTTTGTTCACATAAAATTTGTGGAAGACAAGATCTTCAGGGGGAACATCTGTTTCAGCTAATGACAGAATCTCTTGTCCAATCAAATGGTTACTCATATCAAGCTGAGGAAACAGAACAATAAGTCAGCAGATTTTTAAAGTTATTGGCAGCTAGGCTATTCCACCATAGGGTAATTCAATAAAACCTCAAAGCAAAAGGTCTTTGAATGACAAGTTTAAGCTAACCTTCTTGGCAGGTTCAATTTGGGATCCACCGTGCCATGAGCTTGCTTTTGGTTTCTTCTCCATAAACTTGTCTAGAAAGGCGGTAAGTGATAGATCATTCAATGGGTTTCCATTGTAAACAATATTGACACCAGACAGAAGGGTGGCAGCCATGGTGGCAACTGAGGGGTGAACATGCGTTGAAAGTACCATCAGCTCCCACCAGCTTGCACGATCTGCATTGCTGTTGAGACAGTAATATACAGTCATAGAAAGAACAAAATTGTCATTGAAAATCCAACAAGACAAAAAAGAAAATCAAATATAAAATTCATAGTGCAATTCATATAATGACAATTTTAAAAAGAAAAAAAAGCCCCTAGACCATATAATTACTTTGCAGTTCCTCTCTTGATTGACAGAAAAAATCTTCCTCCCTTAATAATCAGTATGAGAATGACGTCAATGTATATGAAGACCTATTAGTTAGTCATGCATACTTAGATATAAGCAGTGTAAATAGATAGAACACCAGAAGCTAGAAAAAGATGACAGGAAACGTACCTATAAGAAGGTTCCCTGTGCCTTGGATTGTATCCTCCAGGCAGGAAAGACTGGGTTGAGGATACTTGAGGTTTCAGTGCATTTTGGTCAGATATTGATTTGGTTTTATGCAGATCCTTTGAACTCTCTGTTACAAACAATTCATCCACATCATCAGAAGCATATCATCAGAATAAGAGGATGGCAAGACATCTTCATCTTCTGAAGAATCAATACCAGAGTTAGCAGCTTCACCACCATGGACACCAGTATTATTTTCTTCTTTCTTTGACGCCAAGCTCAGTTCAGTGTCTGTTTCCTCTATAATATCTTCAAAGTGTTCAAGATCTTCATCAACTGACTCATTCTGGAGCATCATATTCCTGAACATTGGAAAAGCATTTTACTCAGAAGAGAAAAACTTTCACACATAATACAATTTGGTGCATGGCACATCTAAATGAAACCAGCCTTACCACAATTGTGGCCTTGCTTTGAGAACTTCCGAGATAAGAAAAAGGCAACCACATGCATATTGGGCTGGTTGTTGAAGTGCAACCTGGCAGATATTCAAATTGTTAAAATTTGAAGAACTACACACACTGAAAGCTATAGAAATCAGACAACACCAAGTTTACTTGTAGAAATACATGTTATACAAACTAAAAAAGTAGTATCACAAGAAACTGAACAAAGATATAAAAGTGCTATGCAAAAATAAAAGCTGTCCTATTCTATGGTTATCAATATCCTGCCCCATATCTAGGCAACCAGAAAAGGCACAGGCAATATGGGAATAAAATTGAAAATTATAAAAATCAATTATGCCAATTATAGCCAACAAGGCAAAAAGGATAATGATTAAACTTGCAGAAATGCCCACACAACATTCATTCATGCACTATAAAAAATTAACAATGAAATGGAAAGTAGTTATACAATCATCCTTATATGCTTTCTCTCAAAGCACCAACAAATACAAGGAGCAAGCAAAGGAAGAATGCAGTGCATCACTTACCTGCAATATACGTTTTGAAAAGGCAGACACACGTTTCAAATTGACATCACTTTTCATGGCTCTCAGAAGAAGTCCAATAAACATTTCTGCCTGGAAAAACATGCCATGTAAATGTAGGGATTTTGTAGTAGAATCCACAAAGGCATCTGTATGCTAATATAGTATTAAGTGAATTGTGATACGGTTTGAAGAAGTAATAATCAGAAATAAAATCATCATGTTCCAGATAATTATGAAGTCAATGAATAGCCTGGATGTCAAACAATATGCACCAAGGTATCCAATTGAAAAGGCTCTGCAATTTATTTTCCAGTAATTCCTTTATATGAACACAAAGACCACAGTTCTAAACAAAAAAGTAACCAAACTCAACTTCACTTGCCTTAGAAGAATTCATAGCAGCTGGAAGTAAGAGTTTTGAGTACAAGGCCCGGTAAAATCGGTCACTGACAACCTGATTCTTGGACGAGATTTTATCAAGAAGCATTAATGCTTGAACTCCAACATTGAAGTTCTTGGAATGAACCTGCAAAATAAATTGTCCATGTTGATATCCAAGATCCATGATTATGTTAATGCTCATCAATGACTAAAATCTAAACATCTATCAACCACATGTTCTGGCTGGCTAATAAACAAAGAAGTGCCAAGTCTTGTAGCGTACCAGTTGGAAGAGCATTGGTGTCTCAATATCAACAATGTCATCAGCTTCATTGCTTGAAACATAAGGAAATGCTCTATTAACTCCCTGCAAAAAGGAGAAGTTGGGGAAGTTGGAAAAAGTTGCAAGTCTTTTCCAAAATCAAGCATGGTAACTTTCACACTGACAACACTGACCGTTAAGAGAGCTGACAGAAGTCTTGAATCCAATTCAACATGAGATCCTTCACTACCTTTTTGTTTGTTCTCCATAGACCTAGGAGTACCTTTTACTGCCTTGTTGCTTTTGTTATCCAGTGGCTGACTTCTTCCTGCCTCAGTAATCAGTACCTGAAATTGTGAAATATAAATTCTAATCTCTTCTTTTCACAATCTCACTAATTAGGAGGGTAACGAAACATACTAACACTACAACCACATGTCTAGAGAAAAATATTAAAACTTCATCCATGTAGTTCGTTACATGAGTAGGTTACTGCACATGCAGCCGTTCAAATTAAAGCATGTAATTAAGTAGAATTCTGCACATACCTTAAAAAGTGCAAAGTATACATCTATCAAACGTTTTGCTACCTTTGGTCCATCTCCTTTGTGACTCAAACGAATTTGGCTCAAAAAGTTGACCTATACATGACAAAGGGCATATTAGAAGTTAACTTTGACTAACAGAGTTAAAAAAAAAAAGACTCTGACAGAACTTAAATAAGACCTTCCATCAACAGTCAACTCAAAATCCATAAGAATGAAACCCAGCTCAATCACTGACAATGTTATGTTTGTAAAACAAAACAATTCATGTAATACAGAGACAAACTTCTAATTATAACAAGCAATTCCAAATAATTGACAGTAATAGCACTTTTATGGCAAGTAAAATCAAAGAAAAAATATTTTGCACTGATAAATGTGATTGCTAATAGATATAAAACATTTTTTTTTTTTTTTATTTCTTAAGACACTCCTATGGTTTTAAAACGAGAGATGAAATTTTCTCCCTCATCTGATGGCTCAAAAATAACACATGCAAACCACATTCCCTGATCAGCACTACCACAATTAGGCACTTCACTGTCAAATTTTCATGATTCACTATTATTGACAGTAAATAAAAATGATGATAAACGAGGTTGAAATGGCGGCATGTTACAAGGTTTATAATATCATATTAGCAGAAGAACTGGATGGACGTACAGCATGGTACTTTGCACGTAGTCCTAAATGAGGCCGAAAAAGAAAAGCATCCACTTCATCAATAACCACAGCCTGCCAAAAAAGAAAGTTGTTGGCAAAATATAATGCTACATGCATCACTAAGATGTAAAAGAATACCAGAAACTTTTCTCTCAGTAAGATATGCAGGCAATAACAACATTGATAATTCCTGCACATTCACTTCAATATTTTCAAATTTATGGTCCTACAATTATGTCTACATCACCTTCTATAGCCAAGAGGGTAGCCAATTGCTCTTACATACCATAATACCAATGCTCTTAAACTACAAATTTAGCTAGTTTTGAAATGCATCCCTTCAAAACAAAACTCTCATCTTTTAACTCGTGTGCATAATGTAACATATAAAAACCCCACCAAGTGACTGTAAAAGGAATGATAACTTTTACCTTCATATTAGGGTGGTCGGATAGAAGGTTTGATAAATAAAAGTCAGCATTTGACGCACCCTTATTTTGAGGATCTCCAAGCTGTAGATAACCAAAGAACAAATAAACAAAATTAGAACAGCCTAAAAAGCTCTAGCAATGCATATGTTTTCAAAAGAAAATAGTGTTCAAGCAATTCAATATCAACTTACTTTGTTAACTAGTGAAGACAGCAGCTTGCGTTCTTGCTCTGATTTGCTCTTTAGCAGTACATAAATGGTCTGCAAAATGTAATAAAGTTAAGACATTTGTAAAACAACCTATTGAAACAACAATGGAAAGAGAACAAGCATTTCTAAGTGCTCATATTAGGGGATATCTGATTCCAATCCTACAAGTAAAACCTTGACCTTGCACGATTCAGAGCAAGGTGCTCTTGACTGATCTATGATCTATTTTCAGTCCAACTCAGTTAAATTAGATGACTTCCAATTAGTTGCATCCAGTCAGCTTAAACTAACATGCAAATGGGAATTCCAACTAACGCATACAATGAAATGTCAAAAAGCTTCAACGATTGCACAATTTATAAGCAGGATAAGCTTGTTTTAGTCGTTCATCCACAAAAAGTAAGATATGCTAATCAGCACAAGTGATGCACAGATTAGCAGAGAACACTAACCTTCAGTGCCTTGTCTTTCAGAGCAGGTAACATATCTCTTGAAGCCTCCTCCACTGCAATGACAAAACGTTCATACCTGAAAAAGTTGTTCAATATGCGTAAGACATGAATTTATATGACTGAAGTATATAATCAATTCCAGTTGAAATTGGCATGAGGGGTTTCTAATATACAGGAAATTTAGGAAGTGAAATCAAGTAAAATAGAAGCTAGTATCCTATGCTTTAAAAGGATGCAATCCTCTACTCTCATCAATCACATAATGCCTCACTCTCGCGATAGCCAGAAAAATAATTTTATTAAAAGCAAATAGATGCCTGAAGTAATTTAAAACCCATATTGCAGTTGCAGTTTCTGATTTTAATATCTAAATTCTCTAATAGTAGAAATTAGATAGTTAATGATAGATCAAAGATGTAGGTTTTACTTGATAAAAAAAGTGCAAAACCAATCACTATTAAATAAAATTAGCTTTAACACATTAGTGGTTACTAAAACCATATATATGAGAAAACTTTAAAATGCAATCTTCAGATGAATCTCTTCCCTTCAATTATAACCAACAGATGAGACATTTACAGCATCACTTACTCCAGAAATATCTTATCCAGCCCATCCAATAAGAGAGATCATACATAAAAAATCACTAAGTTTTTTCTTACATATTCAGATGTTTATGAATATAGATAAACCATACACATGCCAGAACAATTCTTAATCAACAAATGCTTGTACGACCAGCCAATTTATAAGAAGCCAACATATAGGAATCATAAACCACACGCATGCCTAAATTAATCTATTTTGGGTTTCAATGACCATTCTGATTAAAATTTGACCAAGAGACCAACTTACAGGAATCTTACTAACGCAAAACAACTGCCACAAGGTTAAAAAAAGAAACAGTTAAAAATACCTCTGCTTCAAGCAATCCTCCCAATACCAGAAAAGTAGAAGAGAATAACCATCTTTTGTCTCTGGAAGGTCATTAACAGGACGCTGTAAAAGTGTTTTCAGCTTTTGATCAGGCAATAACCTGAAAAAATTGAAGCATGTAACTAGTAAATGGGAAAAGTACATACAAAATTACAAAAACCATCAGACTTTGTCAAAATACACTTCCCACCTTGGGTTTTGGAAAATCTACCCAGACGTACTAAAATCTAGATATCATCAAGTGCATAGCCATGATTTGTGTCTATAATGTCATTAGCTTGAAAAAATATTAAAGAATAGCCACTATAGACAGAGGTCACCAATCTAGGGCACATCTTAGCATGGAAAAGCTCTATACATCCTACCTTAGCCGCTATTCACCCAGAACTTTTCACTAATATTCGAAAGCAGCACATAAACTACATGCATGTGCAAGATTGAGAAGGAACGGGGATTAACTAGGTAGAGAGAGAGAGAGAGAGAGAGAGAGAGAGAGAGAGAGAGAGAGAGAGAGAGAACTAACTTTGAAATAAAAAGTTCTTTTAATGCTTCATATCCCGTAAATGCATAACGCTTTCCAATTTTCGATGTCACTAACCCTGCAACAGAGAATTCAATTAGAACAACAGCAGTTCAACAAATAGGGGGAAGTATCATCTAGGGCTATTAAATCAAATGCATATCGTAATCTTGATGTAGAAAAAAGAACACTTTTGTCATCGGTACATTATTCGAAGAAACTTATGAAAAGAGCATTTAGCGTGCAAAATCCAGCATGTAGAACTAAAGCCACAGCCACAAATTAAATGCCTAAAAACATATAATCGACAAGCATACCCATAAAAAGCTTATCTAATACCTATAATTTTAAGTTTTTAACAGCAAACAAAAGAATAAGCACTCTCATAAATTTTGCAGGCAAACATAACCAAAAGTTCATCAAATGAGCATAAATTCAGAAATGGGTCAAACACCACAAAGATAAAAAATGCATTCAAACCATAACAACCAAACATTCCCAACTCCTTAAAACTTTACAAAAAAAAAAAAAATTCATACCCAAAAGCCCATCAAGCGACTTCAAATTGGCAACAGGATTATCTGCAACAACGAATGAAAAAGCAGAAACTTTATCAGCAGCCGTCCCTGACCTCTGACTAGCCCACACCATCTTCATATCCCCAGACTTCCCTTTCGATAACTCATAATCTTTCGCATATTGCCACATCAATCTCTCCCCAAGTTCCCTCTTTTTCTCTACCAATCTCTTCCACTCGTCCACATTTCTAACTTCCATAGCCTTCTTCCCTTTCCCTTCTTCTCCAAACACTTTCTTCTCCAACTCCAACTCATCCTCGTACCATACACTCAAAGCACTCGCTTTCACCAAAGGCAAAGCTGGCACATTCTTAAACTTGTCACGTTCTCTAAAAACACTATCATTCTTATTGGTGTCTTCAAGTGACAAAACTGGAGGCTTAGGCTTGGGTCTTTGGTTGTTTTTGGTGTTTTTATCAGTTTTTGGGACATGGGTATTGTTAGGTTTCTTCTGAAGTTGGGAACTCCGTTTTTCGTTGTTTGGGGTTCTCGGGGGCTTTGGAGGTTTAAGGGAACCAGTTTTGCGAAAATCGACATCGTTGAAACCCGAGTAAGGGAGGGAAGCATCGGTGGAGAAGCCAAGAGAGGAAGCAAATGAAGCTATATCGGATTTCAGGAGCTCTACGTCTTGTGGAGTTTTCGAGTTTGACATTTTGCACAAGAGTTTCAAACAACGAAGAGATAAAGAAGGCTTTGGGCGTAGGGTTCAAGTTTGAAGGAACGTACAGGGTGTTAGAGAAGGATTTGGGGGTTATTTTCCAATTCCTTAAGAATTTTGGGTTTTTCTCAAAATTTGACTAAATAATCATTGGGCTTTCCTTTCTATAAAACAAAAAAAAAAAAGAATTTTTGGGTTAGGTTAGAAAATATGAAGAAACAACAAGGCTAACTCGGTCATTTAATCAACTAGGTTTCCCCCAGCCTTAAAAACCCTAACATTATAAGCAACTGACAAACTCCCTTCAACCGTCTCACCGGCGCCTCATTTGATTTCCATCTTCATTATCTCCCCCGCGAAAACCTCATCCCTTTTAAAGGTTTAGCAGTAAAGAAAACAAATCATGGCGACCACGACAGCCCCAGCAACCGCAAGGCAGCTATCTCCTAAAGAAGCCGACATCCAAATGATGTTGGCTGCCGAAGTCCATCTGGGTACCAAGAACTGTGATTTCCAAATGGAGCGTTACGTCTTTAAGCGCCGCAATGACGGTAAATTTCACATTTTTTTTCTGTGTAGCTATATCCTTTCTCTTCCATTATCTATTTCTATGTTGTGTTCATTTTGTGTTTTGACTTGAATTATCACCAGTTTGAGTTCCTGGGTTTTTGCTGCTCAAGCTTAAAGTTTCCCTTTTTTTGCATATGCTTTGTGTTTTGAGATTTGGGTTGTTTTTTCAGTGTTATATTTTTTAAGTTTTGGATTTTCTTTGTTTTATTTGATTAGTTAAGAGTGTATTTTTGAAGAGATATAAGGTCAGTTAAAGGCTTTAATTTTAGTGTTGTTTTTTCTCATTTCATTTGTTAAAATATATTATAGGAATCTACATCATCAACCTTGGCAAGACCTGGGAGAAGCTTCAGCTCGCAGCACGGGTAATTGTTGCTATAGAGAACCCCCAAGATATCATTGTCCAATCTGCAAGGCCCTATGGTCAGAGAGCTGTACTGAAATTTGCGCAGCACACTGGTGCTCATGCAATTGCTGGAAGGCACACTCCCGGTACATTCACTAACCAACTTCAGACATCTTTCAGTGAGCCTCGCCTTCTTATCCTTACAGATCCTAGGACTGATCATCAGGTAAAGTGTGCTTTACTGTCGAATTGAGCTTTATTGTGTTTCAACATGTAGGAATTGATGATACTTTCTATATGCAATGGTTTTGGATTAGCTGACATTTGAGTATATTATCTGCAGCCTATCAAGGAAGCAGCTCTTGGAAACATTCCAACCATTGCTTTTTGTGATACTGACTCACCAATGCGGTATGTTGACATTGGTATTCCTGCTAATAACAAGGGAAAGCACAGCATTGGCTGTCTTTTCTGGCTGTTAGCAAGGATGGTTCTTCAGATGCGTGGTACAATTGCTCCTGGACAGAAATGGGATGTGATGGTAAAACAGAGAACACCATTATAATGTGTCTATAATTTGAATGTTTTATACCTTCATGTTCTCATACATGACTCTGTATGTAGGTGGATTTATATTTCTACAGGGAGCCTGAGGAAGCTAAACAGCAGGAAGAGGAGGAAGCAGTTGCTGCCCCTGACTATGGAGTTCCTGCTGTAGATTACGGAATGGGTGCTTTAGCAACTGACCAATGGCCCAGGCAAATAAGTGATCAGTGGTCAGCTGATGTGGTTCAGCCACCTATTTCTGGTGTTCCTGCTGTTAATTGGGGTGAACAAGGTAAGAAATGTTTTGTTATTGTGGATATTACTTCAAATTTAAATCTTGATGTTTGTTTCCTTTGCTGATCTTCTTTAAAATTTCAAATGCAGTCGCTGTTAATGCCAATGATTGGGATACTGCAACTGCACCTGCACCACATATCACCGATTCTGGCATTGATGTTACTGCTACCGCTCCTACTGGCTGGGAATGAGAGAACGTTCTTGCTTTTAAAATGAGCTAGTTTGAACTTCTATCATTAAGATGGAATTGTGTTTTTGGCACAGTTTAGTTATAGTTTTCGCATCAATGGCTTAGAGATTTTTGTTATTGTGTTGGTTTCTTAATTGATGAAAATTTTTTTGTTATATGCGAAAATGACTGTCATCAGAAAGTTACATACATGCTTTTCATTTTTTCCTACTGCGGCAATGTTATCATTAATTTTGATTGAATTGGATAAGATTTGAAGGCTTGTTTCAAACTAACAAGGTTTTAAAGTCTGAAACTTATTCGAGATTATGGAATTTCAAATCCATTCAGAGGTTTTTGTTCTTAGATCTATCAAACTCGATGTGCCAAATGTATCAACCAGGCCATCTTGTCAATTGAGCGAGCCTCGGGCTTGCGGTATGAATTACGAAACATGATAGGATCAATTTTGAACGTGGGTATGTTATTTCCAAAGAGTTATGATGTAAATGGAAATACAAGCATGCCAATAATGTCAAGGGCTCAGGAGGCATTCATCTATTTATGAAATATTTACAGGAATCTTTGCAGATTGAGGTGGTCAGAGGTCCAAAATGAATCGACTATGTACTGGTTGTGCTTCCTCTGACATTCTCTCTAAGAAATTTTATGATTAAGAAAAATGTGTCATTATTACACAAACTGAAAATTACTTTTTCTCGGCGGAAACCGCAACTCTTATTCCTTCTCAGCCAATTTCATCATCATTTTTTATTTTGAAATGATGGGTTCATTTTGGTTGTGGTTGAAACAAAATTTCGAATGAAACTACTTCGAAGTAAGCTTTAACGGAATAAGCATATCTCCATGAGTTACCCAATTCACAAAGCTCTCAGAAAATTTATCCAGAATACCATCACAAGTGAGTTCAGATGCAGTTCGGTCCCCTCCCTGAACCAAAAAAAAAAAAAAAAAAAGATTGTTTTCAACCGGTGGCATGGTTAAATCAAATGGATGAATATGCATTCGAAATCATGTACTCGAAAACTAAACCCTACGAATACAACTCAAACGTTAGCAACTCAAACCTCAGATAACATAAAAATATTCTCTCTATATCTATATACTGTCCAGCAGACGTATGTGTGTTGAGATTTCACGGAAAGAATCATCTCTTGCAGTAATTTAGCTCATCTCAGTTACTGTTGTTAATCAAATGAAAAACAACAAAGTACTAACCTTTATGCTCGAACCAGACTCACTTGGAGATGTGGTCATATCAATTTTTACTTCAATATTTTCAGAGGATAGACCCGTGGTAGACCTGCCGGCAATAATACAGACTCATGAGATTTCAGCAGTGAAACACAGAATTGCAATTTTTGCAACTACGATTAAATATTTATGTCTTTGCAAAGACTGCAGAAATGATTTTTTCACCACAAATCAACATTATTTTACTGAGATAATTACAACAAAATTTCCACATACTATTCCATTTTTTTCCTTTTCAATTATGTGTTTAATTTCATTTTGTTTTTTAAGTCCAGACGGAGATGTTCTCCAAAAGGGTTGCAGACGTTCTATTCTGGTTTGGAAAGTTTGTACCAGTGCAAATTTTCATTTTCCGGAAATAATATTCCATCTCAGGTTGAGAGGGCAAAGTGGTTAATGTCTTCTGTCTTCATTCAAGTTGACACAATTGATATAAATTGTGTTTATTCAAAAATTAATGCAACTGTTCTAGAAATATAGAAATAAAATAAGGACCTAAAAGTAAGTGAATATATAAGTGATCACTCCTACATCTTTGGGGAATAGTATAATGACAAAACTATGACTCTTGTTTCCTTCCTTTCTCTCTCCCTCTAGTTAATAGCAAACTGAAAGTAAGTAGCTAATGGTTGTGTTCAGATTAATATTTGTGGTCATGGTACTAGCTAAGAAAGGAAAGAAGCACACATAAGTGGTAGTTGCTTTCAGAGGAAAACATTATCTGGAAAGTTTTCTGCTTTTATCAAGTAACCTTAATGAAGATAACTTTACCTGTCATATATATCATCGTCACATGAATTTCCAGATGAAGAAAGCCAGTCCATATCGAAATTGGTGCAATTACATCCATCCCCATTTTCATCATAACATATGCGATTACTTTCAAGAAAATGGTCTACTATATCTCCGAAAAGCTGCCTGCAAGACATTCTTGGGGTAAACCTAGAAAACCGGCCAATATTTAGTCAGCGGGGCAGCTGATGAAGTCTCTGAATCAGTTTAAAATTATTTAATGAAGGTGGTTTTGTTATCATAGTTCCTTGGTACAACCAACAACACATGTCAAACTTTTAAGATGTTGGCACCTTTAGGATGGAACCTTGCTATAAACCTATAGCAAGAACTACAATCTCAGCAGAAATTTTAAATCAAGAGATACTATTTTATTATATCAACGACTATCATAATAAACTTGGAACAAAAAAATGTTTGGGCACACCTGGAATATGAAATTTCACAAGTTGGCATCTCTGGAGTTGAATCAGAAAGACCATGGGTAGCTCCTATATTTTCAGACAAAGGCCGATGGTGTCTGACATTTGGAACAGCCATGGGAGAGTGGGTTCCACAAAGAATGTTGCCATCAGACAGTGATCTTTTAAAAGAAGTCCTACAGATATTTGAAAGTGACCTCATTAGCTGTTTTTTGCAAGAAAGGTTAGATTTACTATATTAAACTGATATCACACAGCAGCAGGCCAAAAAATATCAATTACCTATCCTACAACAAGCAGAAGAATGAATATTGATATTATTATTCAAGTGTAGCACTCCTTATTGATCACAAAGCAAAACTTGTGCAGTTTTCAAAACAATCATTGCGATAAAATCTTAAAACTTATTAGATTTACAAACACGACATTGTATATAAAATCATTAGAATATTGCTAAACATATGCATATTATATCAAGAACTAGAATATTTAGCAATATATCGTCTCACAGAAATCCTTGGAACTGGAAATTTGGTATAACGGGTATTTGCAATTCAGAGACTTGATATACCTAGCATTCTCATTAAAAAGATTAGGACCATCCCTTCCAACGCTATAGTGTTGGTCTGAATCCAACTCCCAGAGTGCTGGTTTACCCTGTTGTGGCTGAAAATGACCCAAGAACCTGCAAAGAATAATGCCAAATTCTAGGAGTATTATCCTTCATCATACTTATGCACTATAAGAGACCATTTGGTAGCACGGAGCAGTACAGTGGGGGGACTCCCCATTGCATGGACCCTCTGTGCTTCCAGACATATCCTATGTGTCATATATCAAGAAATGCAATTTGCACAAGACTACAAGCATTTCCTGTTATAAGCTACTAAAGTTATGTGAAGAATGAGGCTTGTTTTTATCTTACAAATTAATGGCACTTTGCTTCTCCGCGTCCATGTATGCATTGCTATAGTAACGTTGCAAGGTTCTAAAGAACTCCTGGGACTGAGTCGCTGCTTTCCATTGACCTCTCCTTTGGCAAAATATCTGTTTAACATGACCAATGCAGAATAATAAAATGTACCCAGGACCTAATACTTTAAAGGTTTCAGTACAACCAAAAGCAGATAATGATCTATGGCTCTGAAGCCCAACTACTAAACTCTATTTACATGATACTGTGCCAGCCACTCCATGTTACTACCACAAGTTTTCTAGAATTACTCTAACATTTAAGAACCCTACATACTAATTTGATAGCCATGGATGGAGCAAGTATTGAATTTGAAAAAGAAAATTGTTTTTTATTATCATGAATTTCTTTTGCGATGGTTACAAAAGCTCCCTAAATCCATAAGAAGGGTTACCTTGTTATGCGCTGCAGAGCCACCATACTGCTGAGCAAGGGTGTCACCCATTGTTTCATAAACCCTGATTAAATCCTCAGCCAAAGGACTATTTTGATCAATAGTTTGGGTGTCTATGAAGCCCATAGCATGGAGCTGGCGTCCAAGAGCCATCAATCCATAGGAATATTGGGCAACATTAGTGCGATCTAGACAGTCAATGCAGTTGGTTCTAAGGACTCCGGTTTGGAATGTGGTGGTCTTTACATTCTCACTAGAATTCTGTTTATCATTACCAACATTAGTTTCCAACTTCTCAACGTCATCATTTCTGTCAGAAGCTATCTGAGCCACGTACTCATCATTTTGCCTGCAAATGATTTGCATGCGAAGTAGCACAAGTATTTAACATGAATAATTAGCAAAAGCATCAGCAAACCAAATCAACGAAAACCTAAAAGTATGATCAACCTAAAAGGCTATATTTTTCAAGGTAAAAGTATTGCAGGTTACACATGCATAAATGATGTGCCTTCTTTCTAGCATAATTACAGGTTGAGATAATTCACGACAAAAAAGCAGAGCAAACAGATATTCTTAGATCAAATAAGTAGTCGTAAAAAGATTAGGAACTTTACATGTTTATATTTGAAAAATATACTAGACTTATAACAAAGGAAGACAAAAATTATGACATCATGAAAATATTATCAACATCATGTGCGAAACTTACACGAAACAAGATAAATTCAACAACCCCTCTGGTCTACAATTTGGTGTTACTTGACAGTAAAAGATGCCCGTTAAGTTTAATGCATAATCAGCCACTCTGCCTAGCAGTGCCAACACATTTGTACTTCTGCAGAAAATAATCAAGCTCTATTAAGTCAAACATCCTTTAGAAGATTAGTAAATAAGAATTTTGCATAAGAAAGGGGGTAGGGGACATAAAAGTACTTTCTGGAGTGTCTACTCAGGTCCCAGTGGAGGAACCTCAGACGGTTCTCCTCGGTTAAACTTTCATTGATAAATCTGATCGCATTTGAAAACTCTGCAAGAAGAATAGTTTCCCGAGGTTTCTTCTCATACGTCTGTTAATCACCAGAATGGAAAGCAACGAATCAGGAACATCTCAAAGTTTATGGAAACAGAGAAATAATAAGCGCAAGGCCTACCTTTATCAAATTCAAGATGATTATTGGATTTCCATATCTCTTTACTAGATTTTCAAAATGTAGTCTTGTGGCCTCATAATTTGGATCCTTCTTTGATACTGGAAACAAAAGGCGAGATTAGGAAAATCTACAGTAGTTACCATGTAAAACTACAGATTTATGCTTCTCACTCTCTGTGTGTTCATTCAACAAGAAAGAATGCATACATATGATGTCAGGTTTCAAATTCAAGCGTGAAGTTTCCTGGGACCAGAAGAGGGGGATAGAGCCTCTGTTCTGGACAACAGAACTTATTTGCGTGGGGCATCGTTCAGGAACATCTTCAAACACAATTTGTTCTGTCTCAACATCATTTGCTACTCTACCTTTCTCATTCACACCACGTTTCAAATACCTATGCAATAGAAGAGGTATAAGAAAAATGAGACTCATGTCCGAATCAAGACTAGCAACAAAAGTAGGAGCAAAAAATTTTATCTACAATATGAAAGGAGCAATCATAAACTAGAACTCAAAATTAAGCGAAGAAAACAACACAATAAGGTGAAATCACAAAGCATTTGGCAACAGACACTAGCACAAAGCAAATTTTCCAAATGAATTGTGGGCCAAATGAAATGGTTAAGGCAGTCCCAATTATATAACTAATCCAGCGGAGATTTCAATAAGAAGCTTGTAAAGCATCTAAACCTTGTTCCAGCATAATGTCGAGAACGTCTTGCAATGAGAGTTAACTTAAAGTCCCCGCCAGACACAGAAAGTTTGACCTGGATACCAAAGCAGGAAATAATGAACGTTAGATCAAAACTTTAAAACCATGCATCAAAAAGAAACAACAATTATAGAAAACAAGTTCAGCAAAAGTTTGGAAGTGCAAACCTTCATTTTCTTAACTGCTTTAGTTACTTCATTGTAAGGTGGCTAAGGTTATGAAAGAACGTATTATAAATGGGTCATTCATAAGCTCCTTAAGATTATAGAAAAAGGAATTCCATTTAATAAAATAGAACCAAAGAAACTTTAAACTTGATGGTTGGTAAAAAAAAAGCGGATTAAATAAATAAAAATACCATTTAATACATGCAAAGCAACAAATCAGATTTGACAGCCACAGCGTACCCAAAAAATTCCACAACTGCTGAATATGGTAACAAAGTTCAGGGTTATCTAGATTCCTCTAAAGCAACATGTTTCAAGCATAACAGATATAGGAACTGAAAGAAAATTAATAATTACTTCAACATAACCATCTTATCACAAAAATTAATGAATAGGAAGATGCCTAAAGTATATCATACCTGTTTGAAAAAGCCGTATACCAATGCAACAGTCCACAGAGTATTCTTGAGATTGTTCCGGATTCCTCGAGTTAGGAACTCATTCCAGACAAACATTGTTTCATAGTGTACAAGTCCTGCCTCATTCTTACATAAATTTCTTTGAAGACTATGCATGACATTGTATGAGTAGCTGAAAAAGAAGTCCTTTGTAAGATCCACCATGCAGAGGAGCTTCTTGTATCTATGTCAACAAGGAAAAACAAGAAAGAAAGAACAGGCAAGCCACATTAATGCAGGTTTAGTTATTATTTGATGAAGAGGAAACAACAGAAATGAAACAACCGCTTAAACCATAAATATTAACCAGGAAATAAAGAGAAAGTATTTTTTCCCCCCAGAAGCCCTGATGATACCTTGTCTCATTCAACATCTTATACTAACATCACACAGCAATGGAGTTTGCCCCTGTACTTATGCAGGAAATGAACTGGCAATAGCCTCTACAAATGATATTAACTAAGAAGATGCAACATTAAATTGGTGAAAGCTGACTTAATTGTTTCAATATGAAACAAAAAAAAAAAGATTTAACCAGAAAAAGTTTCAATAAGTTAAAATTGTGTAGGCCCACGTCAACGATGTAACGTGAATGGCATATCAACAAAAGTAGTACAGAGATTACCTCCACACCATGGAACTCTTCTACTTTTAAAAGAGAAGTCCAGAACTCAAATTATTGTCCCAGAGAACATAATTAATTGAGAAGAAGATAAAATAACCACATCATAACATAATTCCATCTAAATACAAATGGACAATGAACACTTTCTATGCTACTCTCATATGTCTCCTTATAAGTTCCAATGACATATTACATTTACATGCAGAACTCACTAAAGACCTTTTTTCATTCGTAGAATAAGCCATATTTGACTGGACAGGAAAATTTGGAATTGGAATCATCTCGCTCTTGGTAATAGCATAGATAGTATGGCCACAAATTGCACCAATCTTCCTTCTTTTTGTAATCAGCAGCATGTAATAAGGTCCCAAAAATTTTACAAACCCTAAATTAATGAGGAGAAAATCATTAGCTTATACTGAAAATGATTAAAGGGGAAGGTGGTGAACCTAAGAGATATTACGTACCAACAATTCCATAACAAACTGTAACAAATTTAAGTCCACCTGTGGACCTGTTTCCTTCATGTATCCGTCTTAACAGATCACAGCAGTCAATTTCTGAGTATGTTCTACAATCTTCAAGAATGGTTAGTTCAGACGGATCTAAGCGATCAATCCTTAATACCCTCCAAAGAGTTCTGTTCTTGTCTCTTCCGATCATGTAGAAATTCTGTTGCACTCCAGGAATGTTGCATTAATATTGTTTGATGGAGATGGCATAATTATCAGCTCAAAGAAAGTTTTGAGAGAAAAGGAAACGAGATATAAAAAAACAAAAGCAGCTCTACTATTCCTCTCAGCATTATAAGAGAATAAACGACAAGTTATCAGATAATGCAGTAAATGCTCTGAGCATAGGGACTATTTCTATATCACAAAAGATGAATTTTTGTGTAGCTTCCAAGCACATTAACAATCACCGCCAACAATCTCATGAGTACTGAACAGATTCTATGAGATAAAAAAACAGTCTAACACTTCATAGAAGATGATTGCGGATAAAGAGAATTATATCCAAACAAAAAATACCTAAAATCATGAGCATATTACATAAAGACTTCATCGCATTAAGTTGAATTTAGCATACTAAAAATTCAGAGAGTTGGATATTTAAATAATTCTGAAATGCTAATCTAACCAAAGCACTGCTGATAATAACAAGCAGATACTTTTGACAACAGAATTTAGACTGCATATTGAACTTTCTATGTCGAATTAAACATGAGTCAACCTCACAACATCAGAAACAACAAAATCAGTATTTCGGCTATTATTTTTTATGCAAAAGAAATTATACATCCCTTTTAGATATTTCAAACTTTATTTAAGGAAAAAAAATTCAAACCATTCCAATATCAAGCCAACTAGGGGGGGGGGGGGGGGGACAGAGCAAATTACAGAGCAGCTTTCAATGCTAAAGCCAAAAAACCTCATATATGATAAAAAAATAAAGAAGCATAGAAGAAATTGGATTAATAAAAAGCCAGAAAAGGGAGCAAAAATAAGCAAACGGATCGAGAAGAGCTTTGGCGTGATAAACATATAAGCAACGAAACTAACAAGTCAAAATCTTTAAACCAACGGCCTTATACGCACGTAAACGTATACATAAGCATACGAAGACATGTACAAGAACGTATATATACGGAAGTATATACAAGTGAGAGAGGAAATATACCGAGCGAGTCTCATAAAGTCTGAATTTCTGCAAATAACAAGGATTCGGGTTGGGTCTACCATCACTGCAGTTCTCGGCTGCCATTAGCTTTTCGGATCCAAGTTATCCGAGCTCGAAACTCGGCTCAACCAAAACGCAGATCACCGTAAAACCGCGAAAAAAAAAAAAAAAAAAAACCTCTCTCGCTTTACAAGATTCAATCTATAAATACAACATATACCGATAAAACAGTGAAAAAATAAAAACAAAAACGCATCAGACTCAGTGGTCCAACCTGGAAATCACGACCAACAAAAAAATAACTAGAAGAAAAGGAAAAATAAATAAAATTAAAGGTGGTAGATTTTCTCCGAAAGAGAAAGAGGGATCGAGTAGGAGACGGAGAAGCTCAGAAGCAGAGAAGAAAGGCAAAGGCAATTGTACTGGAACCACAAAGTGACAAAAAAAAAATAACGGAAGTCTATATATATATATATATATATATATATATATATATATTTTAAATAATAAAAATCCGAAACATCGGTGTTTTAAATATAATTTTTTTCTGGATAGGTTACGTTACGAGTTCGCTTTTTACGGCTGTTTAATGATTGGTTGACGAGTTATGACTCAGACATGGTAATGACTGGGTTGAATCAGTTAAGTGGCGGATTTGGTGTTCGCCTAACTTCTAATTAGCATATTGCTTGGGACTTAGAGAGCCTTTTTTTTTTATTTTAATATTTAATATTTATGTAAAAAATTTTCACAATTTATATATCACATACATGATAACATGATATTACAATTAATCAATTTAATTTATAATTTATGAGATTCATTCAAATTTTATATAAATCTCATAATTATAAGTGATGTAGCTTTATAAAATTTTTAATTATAATAAAAAATTATAAATAAAATATTTTTATATAAAATTACATGTAAATGCTTATGATGTAACCGTAAAGATATAACATAATTGCTACATAAAACTATTGTTTTTAACTTCTGTTTTTTACAATTAAAATGCATTATTATCAATTTTAGTTCATCCAACAAATATATTGTTTTTTACTCAAATATAATTGTTGGTGTAGAACTCCAAATTAAGGGTGAAACCCTGAAATAATAAGAGAAAGATAGTAGTTAAAAGGTAAGAACAAAGAGTATTTTTTACATTTATATTTTCATATTCAAATTATGAATCAAAATAAGTCGGTTTAATATATCAAATCGTATAAAAAATTTGAAATATCTCTTAACTATTTACTGATAATTTTTAATAAAAAAAATAAATCAAAATAAAAAATATTTAAAAAAAAGATAAAAATAAAAGAAAATCTCATAATCGGATATCTAGAGTATCTTATTTATAGGTGAAAGATTAATTATTTTAAGAGTAAGTGATAATGTGATCGAGTTGATGTATTACTGACATTATAGGTCGGTTTAATATATTAAATCGTATAAAAAATTTGAAATATCTCTAATTATTTACTAATAATTTTTAATAAAAGAAAATAATCAAAATGTTTTTTGGATCTAAATTTGCCCCTAATAAATACTAATGTAAACATCGAAAAACAACAATTTATAATTTATGTCATCTATTATATCATATACAATTATCAATTTCAATTTTTTAGGACATTAGTCTTTTTATTTTTTATTTTTCATATGATTTTATTGAAAATGCTTAACTAGTTTTATTAAGTATAAATAAAAAATAAATTCACTACCAATTTTGGTAATATGTTTCTTCAAAGCCAAGTGTTTGCCTACAAAAGTCAATGTGGATACACCATTACAGAGGAGAGCTGGGCAACCAACTAGTTTTGCTTGGAGTTGATCAACGTTGTCGAAATTTCGATTACCCATTTTTCAACGGTCCTGATAAGCAAGGGACCATTTTGTACTCTAGGCTTACCATGTGACTTGTCTCCTTTTGTCTGGTTTTTTACTCGGTTTGGATTCCGAGTCAACTCAGGTTTGGAAATTTATTTTTTTGGATTAATTTCAAAAGTTATTTTTCCAAAAATTTCCCTGTTTTTGGACTCTTTCTCACTTTTGGTTTTCAGTTACGAAATGAAATTATTATAAAATTGGAAAGAAATATCAATATGATGATAATCTGGAGTAAGAATATGCTAATATAATATTCCTTTGATCGACTTGATGGCGGTTATATATTATATTTATTTAATTATGGGAATTAAAGAATAACCATGCTGGATTTTCCGTTTATTTTTCATTTTTGGGTTATATTTTTCTAAGCTTTTGCCACCATAATTTTGTTGCTTGCCTTAATTTACTGCAAAACTTGGGCACATACCGTACACTTCATATTCAAGTAGTTTGCCTATTTTGTAGCATATTAATTAAATTCTAAAAAAAAAATTAAAATATTTGTTAACATCATGATAGTTAAGGATTAAAGTTTAAAATAAAATTAAATGTACACGACATAATAATAATATTTATATCATCAATTAATGGTACGAAATATAAAAGATATGGGATAAGGGAATAAATTTTTTGTGGTATTATAATTAGGTTAAAAGTATAAGAAGTCATTAACTAATTTATAAAATATATAACATGTGATTTAATAATTAATATATGGTTTTATATTTAACGAACAAAATTTGATTTTTATTTTAATAAAAATAATAAAAATTAAATAAACAATAAATATTGAAATAACATGTTAATTAATCATATTTATTAGAGATAATAACGATTTGAATCAAATCGGATTTAATTTAATTTTTTTTAATAATGTATAAAATTATGAATTTTTAAAATTTAATCAAAATCAAAATCGAATTTCTATACAATTTGAACTGAATTAAACCAAACAAAATTTTACTAGTTTGATTCAATTTAGTTCAATGGTTTTTTAATTTAATTTTTTGTTTTTTATATATTATTTTAATATAATTATTAATATATTTAAATAAATTTAAGTATAAAATATTTATTTTTATTTTATAAAATTTTAAAATATATATAAATTTTATTTTTCTATTCAAAATTCAATTCAAACGTAATATATATATATTTAATATATAAATTTAATTCAAATCAAATAAAAAAAAAATTTGAACCGAATATTACAATTACAAATTAATTTTTAATTTTTTTAATTTTTTAATTTTTTCTCAGCCCTAATGTTTACACCCATAGATTATGAGACAATATATATATATATATTTTTCTTGATATAATGTAATTTGACTTTTTTTTTTTTTGGAGTTGCTATGTTATAATAATTATTCGATATTATAGCCTTCTAAATTATGAGAAAAATTTTATCACTTTACAGAAAATAGGGGGTAATTTTTTTATTTTTAATATTATGAATAAATCAAAATTACAAATACAAGTACAATTTGCATGTACTTGGGAAAGAAAAAGTATCAACTACAATATCTATGTACTAGTGTCGTACTCTCATGTTTATATTTTTTTAAACGGAAAACCTTAGTTTTCTGTTTCATTACAAGTTATTATTGGACAGTACGAGTATAAACGAATTAAATTATTTATGACTTATTTAAATTTTATTTAAAAATAATTTAAATTCAACTCGTTCCTTATGGAATATGGAATATAAACATTTGCAAACGCATATCCTTCAGCTTTTTACTTTTTTTTTGAAAAAAAGAGTTGCGTGCTTGCCTATCTTTTATTATTACTGACCAAAAGAAAAAGATAAATGAAAGTTGAGTTTGAAACAAAATAGACTTTCAACAGCGGAGTGCGGTCTGGCCAAAAAACAAAACGAAGAGCGGGACCCGGGGACGACGATCGGACGATGCAGATAGATGGCCATTTCAACGTGGCAAAGATATCTGGCGTAGCTGGAGACAGCTGGAAAGATCAAAACGTGGACGTTTTGCCTCCATACCATGCACGTCACCTGCATGGATTAATAATGATACTCCGATTTCCTCTTGTTTTCTTAGGACGCAGTGAGGCCACGTGTCCAGATGTGATTGGTTAAGGTATTTAACTTGAAGTAACAAGTCTAGCGCAAAAATAATATATTACAATAAATTCATAATAATAAATAATAATCAATAATTAATAATACAAAAAATATATGTTAAGATTTACGATAAAAAATTTTTCAGTATATAAAAAAAATTACGGATTACTAAAAAATATTTTTACTATTAAATAATAAATATATAATATTTTTTTCTAATTAAATTAGAAGTAATTAATAACTAGAGAAATAATTAGAGAAATCTCACTAAATAAGTGACTCAATAAATATGTCATTGATTTGTTCCTAGAGAGTTTCAAATTCGATCTTCACTGTTCAAAATATAAAACTCTGAATCACAAACATGTTGATAAAATTTCAGCTCAATCGAATCGCAGATCAACTTTCGTTCAACCAACTCTTTTTTCTTTCTTTTCTCTATATTTTTTTGGTTTTTTTCTCTCTTTTTTTTTTTTTTAAGTTTGCGACGTCATATTTTTTTATTAAGTAGCTAAGGTTTTATGTAAAAAAAAGAATCAATGCCTATTGCTTTTGATTGGTCCAAACCCAATTACATGAGACTGGACCCAATTTTTCTAACAATCTCTCCTTTTAGCCTAATTAAGAGAAAATTCATCATTGTGATAGTTTCATTTAGAATTTACCTTGGCCAAGGAACTCATTCTGGCCAAGTTAGTTGGCTAAATTAGTGCAGAGCTTAAGAATCTCTTTAGAAAGTATCTTAGTCAATATATCTATTATATTCTCATCCGTATGGACTTTTTTCAATAGTATCTATTGTTCCTTAATCATTGAACGTAACCAATGATATTTAACATCAATGTCTTTGTTCTAGCATATTATATGGCATTCTTACTCAAATTTAAAGCGCTTTGGCTATCATAGAACACCGGATACTTTTTTTTATTTAACATCAATTCAAGAAGAAAATGTTTCATTCAAAGCATTTTTTTACGTACTTCGATTACTACAATATACTTAACCTCTGTAGTTGACAAAATAACACACTTATGTAACTTAAACTGTCAAGGCATAACTCTTTCTACAAAAGTGAACAAATACTCTGAAGTAGATTTTCTACTATCAAGATCACCTGTCATGTTAGCATCAGTAAATTTTTTTAAAACTAGTTGTGAAACTTCATAACTCAAGCACATTTTTGAAGTGTCCCTTAAAAATTTGAAAATCTATTTCACTACTTTCTAATAAACCTTTCTCATATTAAAAAGAAATATATTCATTACACTAACTGCATGAGCAATGTCAGGCCATATACAAATTATAAGATATATTAAAGAATCGACTATAGAAGAATAAAAAATACTAGACATAGTTAGTTGCTCTTTCTTAGTCACCGGATAAGATTTATTACTTAGATAAAAATGGTTGACAAATGAACTGCTAATTGATTTAGCATGTTGCATGTTGAATTTACTAACCACATGTCCAACATATTTT